GGACCAACCACTACTAGAGAGAAAATCAGACCCAATTGAGTTTTGCTTTAGAATATTTAATCTATCAAGGTTCTTCAGTATCGTCCGAAAGACTTGCTTCTGCTGTAAATTTAGCTCTGCCGGATAATTAGGGTGACCACATTATCCAACGTAAAATAGAGGATATTTTTGTCAAGATGATTTGGGAATACGTACACACAACTTGTATGATACAAGTACATACATTAAGTATATCGTAATTTAGATCAATTAATTATATTATTGTACAAGTTCCCCTTCTCGAAAGGCGCTGTAAAGGATTTCAACCGATTCCTAAAAATAAAACCAAATCCTTATTAAGGACTTCGCCGCCAAAATGCGTTTATCATAATTCATACTACATGACGAAGCCTGCGGAGGTTCCTTTTCAGTGGAACTGGAAACTCAGCGTGAGACACGATCCTGGAAAAAACTTTCCCTGTGCTTTTGAGAACAATGAATTTTACTCAAAGTATATTAATTTTTCTAGCAAAATGTCTAAATATTATTTTATTTATTTATTTATTTTTTCAATTATATACATTTCCCTATCAGTATTAGCAACCATTCGTGACTTATATCTTGTACAGAGATCACCGAGGGGGGTGCGAAACAAACTGGCGAAGGTTATCATTATATTTTATATATCCTTAGCTCATTTAAAGGACAGTTTACGAAATAAAATGCAAAAGGCGTCCTTTATTTTGAAAAAAAAAAAATTATAAAGAACAAGGGGTTAAAGGACTGTCCTATAAAATAAAGGACGGAGGTCACCTTAATTATCACATTTAGTTTTGTATTTTCCCAGCCAGCGAGAAATCTGAAAACGTAAAAAAGAAAGCTAGATGAAACGCGAACTTTTCTCCCTTTATCGATTCCATTATCGGACACTTACGATCTCTTTTTCCACTGGGCGGCAGAAACGTATGTACAGAAAAGTACCGAAAATTGTTTTGAAACGGTTACTTTACGGTTACACTTTCCTTCTGCACTTCACAAATGTTTTTTCATAGGCCGGAAAAAAATGAAGGAAGCGCCTGACGGCATTCGAATCTGGCACGCGCAGCGACTACCGACTACGTAGGTACCTAAACACGCTTTCGAATGTTTAGCTTGAACAATAAAATAAAATTATTGCTTTCAGATAGCATGATATTAGGTTTGTATAGTAACTTCTCCAGTAAAACATTGCAGCCAGAGCGTAAAAGCAAAATTGAGCGTAAAATTGACAAGAAGAGAAAACTAGCAGAAAAAGTTACTGAACGCAAAACTAGTAAAAACTTGTGAATAGTTGATGCACCCTTTTGATATTCTGCTGTAAACATTTTACTTTTTATAAATCAGTTTTAAACTCTTTGCTTTTCACACAAGCACTTACACAGTCTAGTAAGTATATCATTAATATTTTGATTTCCACTCATTTTACTTTTGTTTGTGCTAAACCAATTCAACAAATGGCGGCTTTTGACATTTATTCTTCTTCTCCTTCTGCTAGCTATTTTCTGCTAGTAGAAATTTCACTAGCAAGAATTTGCAGCTCTCCCGTGTTGTTGCGCTCTCGATTTGTTGCTCTCCTGCAAATTTTTTGGGTTATCATACACTTTTCCAGTAAAAATTTGCAGGTTCCAGTACAAATTAGTACTGACTATTGGTTACTATACAAACCTATTTTTCGAATGTTTTCCGGATACGAAAATTAATGCAAATAAAAATCGTTTTCGGAACGTTTCCGGGTGCAGAAACCGCACTGTTTTTTGAACGTTTTGCATACAAAAAGGAAAGAAAATTGTAGTCGTTTTCTGTACGCTTCCTCAACAAGACGTTTTATTTAAGTGGCAGTTTAGTTATTCTATCTTCTTGACATACTACCATAATATTCGATTGTAATATTTTTTAACCATTTTCAATGCATATAGTTCTCTATATTTCTAAATTTTAAAAATAAAATCATATTTCACAACATACTTTGTAAGCATAATAACCAGGGAACGTAAATAGCAGTTATTTTTTCCAATAGTTAAGCTTGGCCAGATATTTTTTAAGTTCCAAATAAAAGTCTTTCCGGATAGTAAACAAACCGCTTATCCAAACTAAACAAATTTGGTATCAAATGAAAGAGGACTTAAATAGCTTTTAAACAGAAATAACGATCGAAGGCTACCACTTCTATTTAAATTTGTTTTTATAATTTAATACAAAAGATATGCATATACCTGACCCAAGGTTTGTTCTATGGTAATTAAAAACGTTTCTTATTAACATTTTTCAATAGCTGGCTTTCTGCTGGTTTCCTCGTTTAAATATTTCAGTTTCAAAGCTATTTTAGTCCTCTTTCAGTTGATACCAAACTTGTTCAATTTGGATAAGCGGTTTGTTTATTATTAGGAAATCACTTTTATTTTCGACTTAAAAATATTTGGCCAAGTTTAGCTGTTAAAAAAAGTAACTGTTATTTACGGTCCCTTATAATAACGAAATGGATTCCAATTTTAAAGGATCCCTAAATAATTCTGAAAATTTTTTCTTTCAGAAACTGTAGCCAAAACTCGATGGCGAAGTATACGTGATCAATTTCTCAAAGAGGTAAAGAAGGTGCCAGTGTACAGCTCCGGTGAATCCTATTATATCCAGGAAAACAAGAAATCCAAATATACTCATTTCAATAACTTAATCTTCCTACTGGATACGGACACGCCAAGACAGAAAGTTATCGAGATTAAGCCAGAATCCATAATAGGTATTCGCTCTTCCGAGACTAGTAATTCGTGGGATGATTCCAAAAGTATGGCGGAGGATTTTCCACATCCTCTACCAATGCCTCAGCCTGAAAATTTACCCCAATCTACGAGTACAGACAATACAATTACAAGCATTGGAAAGGTGTACGCATTGGAGGAAGATCTTGATCCGAATTTGTGTGAAGTAATATGGAAAGAAGAGTCCGACGCATTGGTATTCGATGAAATCAAAAATCAAAGCGATGATGGTGTGCCGCGATTTGGAATGATTAAGTCTCAACCCGCAAATCCAACCTATAGTGGCAGCATAAGAGTTTGCCCTCAAGAAGGCGATAATAAAGCCGATGTGCCGCACTTGAAGGATAATTACTACAAATGCCCAGATATAAGAGTAGCACTAGAACTAGAAAATCAAACTCAGTCCGAAAATTGCACTGAGGAGAATGAGAATTTACTATTTTTACGGTCACTTTTGCCTTATATGAATAAGATGGATCCAATGCAGCAATTTCGCGTGCGCATGCTTTTGGCCAATAATATTGCATTTCATTTCCTTTTATCTCCGCACGATAATAAATAGTGTCATTTATAATTAGATACATATGTAATCGCAAATAATAGCCCAGTTATGCATACATAGCTTTGCATGAGAGTTGTCACATAAGAATCTGTTAAATGGACTTTGCGTGTAAGCAGTTACCCAACGCATAGCACTTAACATGTAGAATTCTGTTGGGTTTTGACTTTTACGTAAAAATGGTATAGCAGTGCAAGTTTTCATAACTGGGCTATAAACCGTTGTTATGTTCTAAGTAGTATAAAATAAATAATAATACAGCAAAGCGAGAATACTCTTGGCTCAAGCCTTATCCAATCGTCCTGAAATATACTAGCCAGAAATGCGATTGATTTGTAAAAGAGAGAACGATTTTGAAATATGAGTGTTTTTACTCTCTACAAAAAAATTTCTGCAACCTCACATACACGGTTTTGCATTATCTTGATACGCGGGTTCGTACTTTACACGACGATATGCTTATAAAGCAAGAATGATAGAATACAATATTGCGCCAATGAGGGAGGATTTTTGAGCGTAATTTTTGCGTGACGTCATCTTGGTGCAATTGCGAGAGAGAAATGCCAAAACGCATATAAAAATATGTAAACAATGCAGAAAAATGTGTTAATTTTAATATTACATGGCCCAATTTTGCAGGAATAAATAAATATACAAAGATTGATTAATTAGGAGCACGTAGCAATAACTTTGGACATGTTGCCCTTTAGGTAAGTACGATTTTTAGCACATGAAAAATGGATGTACTAACAGAGCTTGCAATTTCATGTAGACCAAAAGGAAGGTGTGCAGCAAAGTGAATTTTTGGACTTGCCATTTTAAAAAGCCATGCACTCTGTATATTTGTGGACGGTAGCCAACCACCATAAACTCCACAGCTGTTGACTCCACAGCTTTTATTTGATGACTTTTGTACCATTTCCGAGAGGATGCATGAGTGTGGCTTTTTTGGAAGCAAATATTCTATGTCAGTAAAACATAATTTAAGCTGAACTTTTAAATGTGTAATAATTTGGCCACTGTTTTGTATTAGGTACGTAACAGCGCGGTAAGATGCCGCCTGAATTAGCGCCTGGCGACCTTATCCACTGGTGCATACCAGCACTAAAAGAATCAGGTACTAACAAAAATAAGTAGGTAGTGAAGTTCATGTATCTATTTACTGTAGAAACTCCTTTTGTATGTATGCCATTGCCAGCAAAATAAACCAGCAACTGTCTACATTCACCATGTAAATATACCTACTACAATTCACCAAGGAAAGGCCAACATAGTTCCATGCAGAAGCTCATAGCTCACACACATAGCACAAGGCTCGATTTGGTGTTTAATGCATGTCCTCCCCGGCAGAACTGCTTCCACTTTTTCGCCAGGTTTGCGTCCGTAGGAAACGAAAAAAAAACTTATATACGCTTTCCTTTTGTTTTCACTATTACACTTTGCCACGGCACACTTCATTTTGCTTTTTAATGTCTAAATAATTGTTTAAAACCACGCAGAAATATTACCGCACAAATATTAAAATTGTTATTTGGTTTTTTCGTATGCTCACATTCAACAATTGCACCAAGATGACGTCACGCACGCAGCTCCTTCTGTCAAAATCACAAAGAGCGGATTAGCGGTACCGCGATTGGCGCAATCTCTATTTCTCTCAATCGTGACTTACATATGTATGTTAGTGTTTGGCCGAGCTACTTCTCCGATTTGTGGCGTGCGCCTTGACGTTGTCACATAGAGGGGAGGGAACTACAGTTTTACGCCGACTCCAAACCGCGATCGTTTTTTATGAGAAGCACAGTGCGCACTGCTTACCACTACACCAAACCGGCTGATAGTTTTCAGATTTTCCTAGTGGATATGTATACATAATACATCTTTCAATAAATACCTACATATGTCTGAACGGGAAGATACGCTTCCCATTTTTTCGGCATATCTACAAATTTTCTCTCACAAACTGCTCGTACCAACAACACTGCTTAGTTGCGTTAGTCGCCATTCACTGCGTTTCGGCTTCGAAAATATCGCAATGCCCGCAGTATTGTATTGAACTTTGTCGACGATGGAAGATTTTATAGCCGAAGTACACAAAAGAGAATTTTTGTGGGATAAAAAGAAGATACCATTGGGCCTGAAACAAATAACTACAGAAAAACTATGGCAAGAAGTTGCGGACGCGTGTAGTATTTCAAGTGAGTGCGATTTTTAAAATACCTAAATGTATACCGATGTGTACTTATACCTATATATGTATGTGCATACACTGATAAACGAATTACCAGCAGCTTGCTCTCAGTATAAGAGTTTATAAGCATACTTTATTAGAGAACGCCAATACAAAATAATAAAAGTAAGTAAATATGTGTGCCTGTGTATATAGAAATATCACTTCTAGTCTGCGTTTAGCGATATGCTGTGTTTCGCGTGTAGCGAAATCGACGCGCGCTTAGTAGTTTAGGTCTCTCTTAAAAATGAATATAGTACGTATACATACATATGTATACATGAACCAGAAACGATAAAACATGTTTAGCCTTCCTTTGTGTACTTTTGCTTTGCCGATGTGGTGGATTTTTCGAGGTTTTGTTGGCGGAGGTTAATTACGTACGGTGATATTGCAGCGCATAATTTTTCGCTGGGTTTACGCAGGTTTAAACTATCTAGTGGTCCACAAAATAATAGGGATGCCATATTTGGATCAGGGCTCGAATCGTAACATCCGTTCACGGATCGAAAACGATACGAAAGAAAATTACGTGATACGTCAGGCAGTATAAGCTGAATGGCACAAAGAGTAACGTTCACGTATGCCATAATCTGAAAATTGCGTTTTTCCGTGACGAGGGGTACGCTATCGTATGTGACGATTCAAGCCCAGTTTTGGCTATTTGGTGTTTATTTATATTTTTTTATAAAAGGCTAGCTGGCTATACAGCAAACACCATATAGATTTACATTGCAAACTTTGTGCAAATATTATAAAAATTCTGCAAACTTTCACCAAAATTTCAAATCCTTAGCCCATTTAATTCTAGTCTGATGAAGTGCAAGTTTCAAGCTGCTAAAAATCGCATTGATTTTTGGCATTTTTTTTGCTGGCACACACCTTGTATGGAAAAAACGTGAAACATCTCCAACCAAAAAAATGCTAGGCATTTTCCTCCACATAAAAGGAATTGTCGAGTATTTTTTATATGGGAAGAAACTGCTCTCAACACCGTCAGCAAGAAAAAATATTAAAAATAAACGCAATTTTCTAACGTCTTAAAATTTGCACTATTACCTACTAAAGTCTAATGTGCTATAAAACTGCATACCTAAAAATTTCTAAAAATTTTCAATTAAACGTTTAAAATTTTTGGGTGTAATTGTTAAACTTTCTTGAATTTTTATAATTTTTGTAAGAAGTTTAAAATGTTGACTTATGTAGTATTGGTTATGTAATGTGCTAGAATTTTATAAAAATACTACAAACATTAAATTCACAAAAGAAAAATAGCAGGAACAGAATAGATTAACAAAAAATTTTGCATGTGAACGCAAGAACAAGGCAAGGATGGACGATAGCGAGTTTGGTTGTACCTCATTGAGTTCATTTAGGCCCCTATTATGAGTTGCATTCGATTTTCGACTGTGGTCGAAAGTGCTGAGCGAACGAATTTTCATTTGGTATTATGGCGCTCATTCGATGAAGAATAGCGCTATTGTGAATTTCGCTCGTTTAGGTTGTTCACAATAGTATATTTTTCACCGCTGAGAAACTTTGTTTACAAATCGAGCAAACTAAATAGTGTGCTTATACATATTTATATAAATTTGTTCTAATTAAAATGAAGTAAAAAAGAAAGCAAGTTTATAAAAACGTGGTAAAATGAGTACAACGAGTTCTGGTTCAACGATTCGTCAGAGGATGAGAGCTTAGTAAACTGGCCAGGAGTAGGAAATGGTTAAGAGAGTTTAAGTTTATTAGTCTTTCGAATATATTTTGATATAAAATATATTTAAGAAATTTGTCTACAGATTCATTAAAAAGTTCCGACCATCTAAAGAGGCGTTTGTGAGCCAAATCTATTTAAAATATTTTAAAACTATCAACAGCGTTACGATTTTGTTCTCAGAGATCGTGCCAACAGAGTATTGGGATTTTCTTTCCCAAGTAAAACCAGCCTTTCGAGCTTGTGTTTAGTATTCACGATGTTAGAACTGCATGCAATTAATAAAAATTGTTTAAAATTAGTGTCTAGCCGCCAAAATCTAAGAAAACATATACAAAATCATAAATTTTTCACAATTTTCTAACACTTCGCTACACCATCGAAAGCAAAATTCTGTTCGACAGAAAATTCGATACTCAACGAAAATTTTGACACGCTTGCATAGCTCATAATACGAATTTCACTTTCGATCTTCGATCTTCGATAGCCAGCGAAGATCAAAAATCGAATGCAGCTCATAATAAGGGCCTTAGTTTCGCAACTCGCTAACTGTACATACATAGTAAGTACATATATACATTTCAATAATAAGAATGTATGTGGAAATTTTTTGTTTGCAACTTTTGGTATGCATTCTATATTTGAGCCTTTTAGCCTAAATTACGTGGTACATATGTATATATATGGGAGGTTCCATGGGAAAGTGGACCTCAGTGCAAAAATTATTTTCTTTATAAAACTAACAAACGTGTGGACAAGACATTTGTAAAAATCTTGAGTCAACCAAAAAATAACAAATCAAAGCTTTAAAAGCATTTTTATTACCTTCTTTTACGTTTTGAAATCAAGTTCTTAGTACATTTTTTGATTGAGTTTAAAGTAGGTTGTGTTGAATGCACTGTCAAATAATTTTAGAGTCATAATTCAAGTGTTTGGTAAAAAACATATATAGTAGAACTCATCTGCTTTTAATAAGATTGTGTTATATTGTGTGACTGCTTTATCTATGTTATGAGTTATCATTAAGCAGTATTGGTCTTGTCCCACCCGTGACAAAAAAAGCTAAAAGTTGTTACATTTAGTTACAGAAGTTGAGATTGTGTTTCGTGTTTGTTACATAAAGTTAGAAGTTAATTTCAAATATTTACTACAATTGCATTGTCGTTTCCACGTAGTTAGATGAGAATAATTCAACAGTGAAGCATGTCCCACCCGTGACAGCTATGCGTGGGGCAGTTGTCAGAGGTTTACAGGGCTGATAAGCTTTATTTGTTTGTTGAGGTGGACGCAGGGGTGGAGGGGGGATGCGCGGACTCGTCCATTATCTATATACCCTTGTGGTCAGCTGATTAAGTTAAGTTACATATTGACAAGTTTTGGTTTTTTATTTTGTTAAATTAATGTTCATAGTTTTTTTTTTTTATAAAAGTCTAGCACATTACCTAACCAGAACCACATAAATCTACATTTCAAACTTCTTACAAAAAATATAAAAACTTTAACAATTACACCCAAAATTTTTAAACTTTTTGTTCAGAATTTTTAGGTATGCAGTTTTGTAGTCCATTAAATTTAAGTAGGTAAAAGTGAAAATATCAAGACGCTAAGAAATCGCGTTCATTTTTAATAATTTTTTTTCGGCTGGCGGGGCTAAGCATTTTCTGCTATATAAAAGGCACCATCCCAAGAAAAAAATAAGAGGATTTTAACCCCTACTTGGCTTCTTATATTTTTAAATAACTAATCTTTATATATGGACCACACTAAAAGCTCCCTTGCATATAAAATTCGTACGTGTCCTACCTGTGACCAACGTTGTCCCACCCGTGACAGAGGAATTACGGATTTTTTGTATAATAAAGCCATTTTTTTGTAGTTTTTGCTTTGTTTGTATTCCTGGTTCTTTGTTTTATTATAAGACATCAAGTACACGAAGAAAAGTGAAATAAACTCGCAGAGTTTCCATAAAATATATCTTCTCCAAAAAGCAGGTTCTTTTTTTTTGTCCCATCCGTGACAGAAGAAATAAATCAGATTTTTTCCATATAAAAGTAATCTGGAATTTTTTTCGTATTTTGTAATAACTCATATAATAATCAGTTAGGTGCAGCTTTATCAAAATGTACGATTGTTGAGTACTTTATACTTAAATTTAAACTAGAAAGAAAATTTTTTCTGTACAAATGTCCAACCGGTGACGGTGGAATCGCCCATATATGAGGTTTTATGGCCATAGAATAACGATGACCCTTGTCGACTTTTAGTTGCAGGTTTTAGTTAATAACTTGAATTAAGGCGATCTAATCGTCAATTACAACTATGGAAATGCGAAAAATTCAGCATATCGCACACCGTTTTCAAAAGAGTCACAACTCAAAATTTGGAATTTTTGAGTTATGCGCTAAAAATGTACGCAGAGCTTTTATTTACCTTTCACCAAAAGCTGCAGCAAATTTTTGTTATAATTTTTTAAAAACAAACCAAAGGTAAAGTCGCCCTAGCCTATATACGTATTATTTTGAGTTGTGAATCTTTTGAAGACGGTGTGCGATATGTGTCAGTGATTCTGCATTTATAACTTTTTAATAGGACGGCAGAATTAAATTTTTTTTAAATATCCTTTGAAATTTGTATACTTTAATACCCTTACACTGAGAAAATAGTTTAGTTAAGGAAACTGAATATGATTTGGTTATAGTCAGGGTTGGCAATGTTTAAAAAACTTGATTTATAAAAGTGCTTAAAACCTTGTTTAAGACAATTGAAAAAATAACCGATATTTAAACATGTTTTAATACGATAAGAGGTATTATGCTGCAAATAAAAGTTTTGAAAAGTGCAAAAACTATTCATTATATGATTAATGTTTTTTATATATGTTTAAAATATGTTCAATCATATAATGAATAGTTTTTGTACTTTTCAAAAGTTTTATTTGCAACAAAATGCCCCTTATTGTACTAAAACGTGTTTAAATATATGTGATTTTTTCCTATTAGTTTAAACAAGGTTTTAAGCACTTTTAAAAAACAAGTGTTTTAAACATTGCCAACCCTGGTTATAGTTACATTACCAAATCATAGTTAAAGTTACCAAATCATGTGATGAGAGAAATGTATTTAGCTTACTTTTCTCACTGTATATATATACATATGTATAATCATAGGTTTTAAATTAAACTAGGACTCCTTAAAATGCATCAAAAATTAAAAATTTTGAAGGGTAATATTTTTCTAGCACATTTTTGACATGTTCCA